GCAATTGTCGGAGCTGGTGGTATGCAAGCATTGGCCATGCACTTGACTAATCCGTCACAGCGTTTGGTACAGAATTGCTTGTGGACATTGCGTAATTTATCCGACGCAGCCACCAAAACCGATGGACTCGACATTTTATTACAAAACTTGGTCCACATTCTCGGCTCACAAGATGCCAACTTTGTGACCTGCGCCGCCGGAATCTTGTCCAATTTGACGTGCAACAATCAGCGCAACAAACAGATTGTTTGCCAGGTGAACGGCGTCGAAGCACTGGTCAATACAATCATCAATGCTGGCGATCGTGAGGAGATCACTGAACCGGCCGTTTGTGCATTGCGCCATTTGACTTCACGTCACGAGTTGGCCGAGATGGCACAGAATGCGGTTCGCTTGATCAATTACGGTATACGTGTTGTTGTCAAACTGTTGAACCCTCCATCACGCTGGCCATTGATCAAAGCCGTTATTGGATTGATTCGTAACTTAGCTTTGTGCCAAGCCAATCATGCGCCACTGCGTGAACAAAATGCGCTCCACTGCTTGATCCTCTTGTTGAACAAGGCACAACAGGATATCGTAAGTACAATGTTGTTTGAGTCATGCGAAAGAGGAAAAATTCTGAATGTTTTGTTTTGATTTTGATTTCGTTTAGCAACGCTCGTCAATGGCTAGCAATGGATCTCAACAGCCCGGCGCATATGCTGATGGGGTTCGAATGGAGGAGATCGTTGAAGGCACTGTCGGTGCATTGCACATCCTCGCAAGAGACTCACACAACAAAGTGTTGATCCGCCAACAAGAAGTAATTCCGATATTTGTCGCTTTGCTTTCGAGTGACATTGAAAACATTCAGGTACGAACGAATTGGAGGCTAGCATAGGTATAAATCGAAAATATTTCTAGTATTTGTAACTAATTAATCTTTGAATTTCCATAGCGTGTCGCTGCTGGAGTTTTGTGTGAGTTAGCCTCTGATAAGGAGAGCGCTGACATGATCGAAGCTGCTGGCGCAACTTCACCACTCACTGACTTGTTGCATTCACGTAATGAAGGTGTTGCCACATACGCAGCCGCCATTCTCTTCCGAATGAGCGAGGACAAATCCACAGAATACCGAAAACGTCTGTCCGTTGAGTTGACCAATTCATTGTTGCGAGACGAAACTGCATGGCCAAATGACATAGGTCTCGGACCAGATCTTCAGGTTTGTTTGATTACTTGTCTAATTTTCACGAACCTAGTTATTATTTTTGGCTCCTTTTTTCCCTGTTCATATGCATATGTATTTATGAAATTACTTCATTCCACAGGATATGCTTGGAGCTGATCAAGCATACGAGGGATTATACGGACAGGGCCCGCCCAGTGTTCACAGCTCTCACGGTGGACGAATGTTCCAACAAGGTATATAACTTTGGAGTCAAACCAACGAAATACGCTAACAAAAAACACACTCCATCAATTTAAAACATTAACCATTTGACTAATCACACAAAATCGTAACTAAAACCATCTTCATCACTTTACGCTCGAAAGAGAAGCTAACCTAAGAAAAACTCACCGTTTTCTATCTCTCTTTCTATTTTCCATGCAATTGTTCTCTTTATAGCTAAGCCAACCTAAATTAATGCTCAGCAAAAGAAATGAAAAAAACGTTAGCAATTTAGAACTCAATGAAATACCACAAAAAAACAAATTTTCAGTTTTCCATTTTGATTTTCTTTCGTTTGATCATTTGATTAAGGCTGAAAACGGGATGATTATGTAATTTAAGTTTTAACAAACCAAAAAACAAAAAAACAAAAACAAGAACCTAATGCCAGTGTCTAGTCATAACATTATAACAAGCAAACGTAACTTTAGTTTTAAATCATCACATAAAATAATCCAACAACGAATAACTGCAACCAATTTAATTGCCAAGAACAAATGGGATGTTAAGAGAAAGCCAAAAAAACTAACACAGGATAGGTGATTGATCAACTTTAATATTCAATTAAATTTCAAATGTTTTACTGCTTGAGTTTCCTGAGATGATTATTGTTTCAAGTTTGAGTTGTTCAACAATTTTTTCCGTTTATCAATGATTTTGCATGCATTACTGTTTCCAAGTTGAACATTTCAACCTTCGTTTATGGTTTGCTTATTTTCCATTTTTGGTTTCAAATTTTAGTTCTTTTTCTAGTATTTGGTATTGGTTTATTGGTAGAATGTTCGATCTCTTGATTTGTTTGTTATTAATTATTATTTTGGTTTGTTTTTCATTCCTTTATCTTGATTTTAATTTCATTTTTCGTTTTCAACATAAACTTTTGCTATCATTTCAGCGTACGAAACATTGCCAATACCAATTGATTCGTTCCAAGGTCTGGAATTGTGCCCATCGTTGGGACCAACATCACCGTACGAAATGGATATGGATGTCGGAGAAATTGGTGCGGGCGAACTATTGGACTCGATGCCCTCTCCCCCAGCCGGTGATAATCAAACGGCCGCATGGTACGACACCGACTTGTAATCTGTGATGCGCAGTGATTTCAATTCGACAGTTCGCTGACAACATTATGGCAACATAATCAAAAATACGCAGCCAAAACTGAATTCCTTTCGTTCTTTTTCTCTCTCTCTCTCTCTCGATAACACTTGACAAAAAAGATTACTATTAGCATAAAAAAGGGGAAGAAATAGAAAACCCAATGATGATCAAATGATGAATTACAAAACAAATTGTCACGTAAAATCGCTTAATTAGGTTTTTGAATCGAACAAACAGGGTCAAAGTGTGTCTTTATGAAATGTTTTCGTTTTATCGTCCTTCAATTTTTTTTGTTGAATCGTTTTTTCGAAAGATACACTAATGTTATACACATACATAAAGAAGATTTAACTGAACCATTTTGTCGACGACAGTTTTCTTTTTCACTAGACTTAAATCAAAACAAATATCAATCAAACAATGAATCAATTGTTTTTAGATTCTAAGATGAAATATATACACGAACATATTTAGAGTAACGTACAAAGAAAAAAAAACTCACACGAATCGAGAGCATATACAGATCAAATGTAAACCCATTGAAAAGTCAAGAAATTGTTCGTTTGTTTTCTCGTAGATTGACATTATAGCACACACACAGTCCCATTTTCCATATTCTTCTTTTTTTTTGAGTCCATTATATTTTCACTCAAAAAGACTTTTTTATACACATAGAATGGATTAAGTTTTATTCTTTCAAAATTTTATATTTTTTTCCTACTTTTTTCTATATATTTTGATTATTTGTTTTCAAATAGATCGTAGCTATGTAAGCATATATGATTTTTCATATTCAATACATAACACATTTATATCAATCATCATTCAAATTCTTGTTTTTTACGATGCAGAAATGCAAAGTTTCACATAAATATTCAAGTCAAAATTCCATCGTTTTCACACGCAACAAATCAAGAAACATACACACACACGCGTGAAACATATAACACATAGTTTTATTGAATAGTCTCTCGCCAATAAGGATCAGCTATGGTTCCAGTGAAGAGCATCGCGCCAATTCAACTACCATTAACAACACATAATGAGAACAAAAATATTGCATTTTCATTTGCAATTGATACACACTAAAATCAATATTCAATTAGTAATATGAATGTATTTGCAAAACATTTAAAAAAAATTAATAAATGAATCATATAATATACATTTTTCATCGTGTTTGTATTTGTGTACCAGAAAAATAAGCAAAAACTGAGGGAAACTTCAAGGGTGAGTCTCAATGCTGCATGAGATAAGTGATTGTTGCCATAATGCATCTGCTATAAAAGTCTCCAATGATCATCATAATAATGACGAATGCAATTGCAGAGAAAAGTTCATCGACACGTTGAAATTGAATCCACAGTTGAGAAAATTAAACGTGAACTTGGCAAGTCTATTCCGTATAGAAAAACTAATGTTCGACATTAATGCTCTTCACAGCGTAAAAGATCGATTGCAAAATCTTGAAACTCTTGTTTCAGATAGTAATACCTATTAAAAACTTTTTTTCACATTTCAATTTCGAGACGAAAAAATTGAAAAATGTAAAATATCTACAAATTAAATTCATTCGAGTACAAGACTTGCCACTATCTTTTAATAATTTGGATTCCATGTGTTCTACACCGAACATTTCGTTAGTTTTAACGAAAAACATCCAACCATTTCGACATTGGTTATTTTATTTCACAGCGGTTCTGGATTTGAACCATTGGAGAGACTCAAAAATGTATGTCCAGTCCATCTCTGACGAAGATCAATTGTTCAAGTCTTCTATCTCTTAATTTGATAAAAGATCGAATCGATTCTCTTATTGGCATGTTCAAATCTTTGAAATCCATCAATTTCGAAACTTTCAATGATTCTCCTCGCAAATTAGTATTTAACACAAGTCGAACGCATTTCAGTGGTGAGTGGTCAACATCTATTCGTTTGGTACTATAGATTTACATTTTCGATATGTTATTGATATGTTAATAACCAAAATATCGGAAAATTTCTAATAACGTAACATATTATTAGAATAATAAGATTCTACGATATTATTAACATATTATCTTATTATTAATAAGATCGCCATTTTATTGCATCAAAAACTGAGAAACATTAAACTATAATATCATGAAATATATAACAATTGCTGTTATTATGGCCCGAACAATTTTTTGCAAAAGTAATGCCGGTAAATCTGTAACGAAGTCTGTTGCTCTTCAGTTGTTCACGCATGAACGTTCATGCTTTGCAGTGAACGCATCGCTAAGCGGTAGTGAAGAGCAACAGACCTCGTTCACCGCAAAGCGAGCGCATCATATTTATCGCATGAATTTATTCAGCGTGATGGATTTAGCGCATAACAAAGCCTGGTAGAATTCTTTTGTGAAACGCCTTATCCAGGCTAAAAGTGATTTAGCTCTGTTGATTATGTAGTCGATGTGATTTTTAAATGACAGTTTGGAGTCTAAAATCACTCCTAGGTTGATTTCAGATGTTCGGTCAATGGTAGTGCCATTTATGGTGTATTCATATTGGATTTGATTTTATCCTCTGTAGAATGTTATTCCTTTGGTTTTGCCGATATTTAGTTTCAACTGATTTATCTTGAAGAAACGAATCGCTGAGTTCAAGTCCTTTTGTAGGCATTCACATTGTTGTATCGACTTGACTGGTTTGGAAATTTTGCCATCATCAGCGAACAAATGTAGATTTGATGATTCAAGGTAAAATGGTAACTCATACATAAAGAGGATAAACAGTGTAGCTCCGATTGGGTATCCCTGCCCTACTCCTGACGATACATTTATTGGCTTAGATATGGTGTTTGAATCGAGTTTCACGAGCTGTTTTCGATCACGCAGATATTCACTTATCCAAAGCAGTATTTGTGAATTTAGGCCCATTAGTTCAAGCTTATGACAGAGTCATTCAACGTTGACCGTATTGAACGCTTTTGCAATATCCAAATAAATTGCATCGACTTGTTTATGTGATTCAATTCCTTCGGCCACAGAACTCGTGAATTCAGCAAGATTCGTTATTGTTGATCGCCCAATGGTGAAGCCGTGTTGATGTTCTGTGAGGATGTTTTTCATATGATAGTTCAAATGATGCGCTATGATTGAATCAAGTAGTTTGGGTATAATACATTGAATAGCAATACCTCGATAATTTGTAATGTATGATTTGTTTCCGTTTTTGAATATAGGACGAACGAACGACGATTTCCATAGTTCTGGAACATTTGCCTTTTCCAGCGATGACTTCAGAATCGAACAAATTGGTTTAGTTAGCGTTGCCATGCAATTTTTTACAAAAATGTTTGGTATGTTGTCAGGTCCTGCGACGAGATTCGATGGCAATTCATGTATTGCTTCTTCGATTGTTTGTTCATTGATTACAATTGCTGGAATATTTGCGCATACATTTTTCATTTTATCAGCATGTTCATTCTCCGCATCGAAGTTCAATATTGCACTGTCGTCGTGTTTCACATACACTGATTCAAAAAACGAACGGAATAAATCTGCGATTTCTTTATTATTTGTTCCAATTTTTTCATTTAGTTTCATGATCAGGGGCATATCCACTGATTGTTTTTTTGTATAATTAACATGTTTGAAGAATTGTTGCGGATCTTCAATAATCATTTGTTGCATTGAAATTTTGTAATCGTTATATTTTTTTAGCACGTAATTTTTATATTCTCTTCTTTTTTCTTTGTATTCGATTTTTGATTACCAGATGAATATTTTTTTTAAATTCAAATTTTTTATGCAATGTGTAAATCTGATTTTTTAAATTAATAGCTATATTGTCAAACCATTTAGGATGAATGAGTGGCCTTCTTATTTTAGATTGCACGTGTTTTGAAATCACTTGTTTTAGTGTGTTATAAAATTTCTCAATGTTATTTTCGATTGACGCATCACATAAAATTGTTTCCCATTCAATTAGAAACAAATCATTATTTATATTTTTGTAATCAGCATTTGTAAAATCGAGGTATGATTCAATTTTGACTTCTGTTGGGTTTTTTGTATGGAAAGACAGTTCAAGGTTGAGCGCTTTGTGATGAATTTCATTTTCTAATAGGTGGTTGTGACATTCATTGCAAGAGAATAGCTCGGGATCATTTGTCCAAATTAGATCGAGCAGGCGATTATTTCCATTTAGGTGATAGTTTATTTGGTGCAGTCCGAGCTCATGACATGAGTCAATGGTTTCAACTTCTTCTGTGCTGAGTGTGTTAATTGGAATATATGTATTTAATTGATCATCGACTCTTTCCCAATTCAACCTTGTTAAACTAAAATCACCAAAGCGGATCACAGTTGAATCAGTTGCTGCTTTTTGTAAAGATGATTTGGCGTAGTTTATGTTTCTTTCATATTTTGTTGAAGCTGAGTTTGGTGGAATATATACACAACCAATCAAAATGTTTTGTTGACCACTTGAAATTTTCACCCATAGATGTTCACAGCCTTCATTTTCGCCGGTAGAAATTAATTCAAATGAAAACTGATTGTGTACGGCTATTAATGCACCACCTTTGCTTTGCTTATCACATGTGTTGACTGTTCGATCACATCTGTACACAATTCTGTGTGGAATTGAGGTGGAAAAATTTCATTTGATGACACCGTATCATTAAGGCCAGTTTCAGTGGAGGCGTAAATTAAGAATTGAGCAGCTAAAATTTCGGCGTAAATTAAAGAACATTTAAACCGACATAACCAAATTGTTTGCTGTCAAACTTTGTCTCGCTCACGCCAACTGTCACACTGACTCGTTCGTGTACGAATTGCTGTTAGCGTAAAAGAGACGTTGTTCGCAGTGGACTCAGTTTAGATGTTCTTTCTTTTTGTTAACAAACCATTCACATTTTGGTAATAAATTAAAATAGAAATTATCAATTCATCAATTAGTTGCATTATCACATTTTTATCACTTGTTATTACATCAGTCGAATCATTGTGTTGTTTGTTGTTTGGTTCTTTGTTGCTCATTGATTGGTTGAATGTTGTTGTTGCTGTTGTTGTTTATTAATCTAATAATATGTTATGTTTGAGTTATTAACGCCCCGTTAATAATATGTTAATAATTAATAACATTAGTATGTTAATGCCTGTAAATCTATATTTGGTACCGGAAATTCATCCAGAATTCGATTTTCCAGTTTTCTCCAACTACGGTTGGTACAAAGTTGAACTAAAAAGGCGGAACAAATTACTTCAGGTAATTGAATGATTTTTGCAAATCAAAATTCGTTTAGTTAGATCGATGACATCATATAACTTGTACATCACAATTGTACATGGTATACATTGAAGGAATAGCCATCAATACTCGAGTAAATCAAATGAGCTCCAATGATCATTATCTATAATTCTAAATTATGTACGAAACATTTCCAAATTATCATTTAATTAGTTTATGGTAATTTTTGAAAATGAAATTGTAAATCGCACTAAATAAATAAATTAACTCCATACACCGAATCAATTGGTTTACTTTCTTTAATTCTTTTCAGTTTCATTGAATTCAAATATGTAAAATAGATGAAATTTTCAGACTTTCAAGAGATATTATGGATTTGACTTAGAAATGCGAATGCAAAGCAATTACAATCACAAATTGTATAGCTTCGATTAAAGCCACTCTTCACATCACATCTCTTGCTTGCGTCCAACCACAAAAATCCTCCACTACAAGTAAACATTTATTATATTTTATATTTTATTCAACACCACCAAGCTCTTTTCATATCTTTATGTTTTCAAAAGCAAAATTCTATCAATATTACTGACCTATTTCCTTTTCCTACATTTGCTTTATTCTCACTGTTTTCATTCCTATTCCTTTTGTTGGTAATTACTTTCTGTACTTTTCCCATTTCGAAGCCATTTACACTTTTCATCCGTATGGAAAAAAATGCATTGATTTTGCAATATATTGGCTACAGTCTATCTGGGGTGACATCAAATCATTTCTTACTTGTCTCCATATGTACGCACATAGAAATATAAGTATAACACAAAAAAAGTGCCAGTAAATTTCTATTATCAGCTATAACAACGGCTATTTTAAATATAAAATCGATGCTCGATTCAGAGAGAGAAACGTATGATTGGATTTTTCCACGCAACAGTGTCAAGAAACTGAAAAAAGGACACACACACACACACATTTTCCAGCTTGATTTTGTTTGTACCGATCGATTGCGTTAGTAATGCCACGCGAAGCGCCAATAATAACAATAAATATTTACAGCAGTTGAACTGAAACGGTCGATCGTATGTCTAATTTCCTGTCAAGCCTTCGTCAACCAATTTCGACAATAACAATAACAACAACAGAAACAAGCATTGACGGAATCAAATCTCTACTATTGGAATGTCTCGTCATTATTTAAAGTGACGAATCGCTGCTAACTTGTGCTCGTGACGAGTACGGAACGAGATAATGCGTTGAATACTAATGATAATCAGTGAGCACAGTTATAAAACATCTGTTATCGCTTATACCGGACGTAATGTTTTGATTTATTTTTAAATCAGTTAATCAAACCGATTTGACGCAGCATTTTAATTGGAATTTCATCAGATAGCTTGGAATTTGTTTGTAAGGAAATCGATGCGAAAAAAATGTCTGCAAAATCAAATACGCCAATTTCTAAATACGCATTTTTCAATTAGTCGACTTTATTTAACATTCAAATGCATTTTGACATAGTTTTTTTTTTCCTTGTTTACATGTAATTCAATTAGCTTTTCAGTTGTCGCTCTCACGATTTGTAATGCAATAAATCAAAATCAGAAATCAGAAAAACGAATTTATGATTATAGAGCCCGCTTATAATTCATACTTGATTATTCGTCATTCGTTTTTGCTTTCGTTTTTTCTGTGTGATTTAACATTTTATAATGTGGTCAATGTCAATGTTTTATTTTTTTATTGCACTACCAGAAAATTAATTGCCTTTGCGACGCGATAACATTTGTATCATATCGACGACCTCTTCAAAACAAAAAATCAAAAATCACAAGCACAATGCCTTCATAATCAATCGTGTGTCGAGATATTTTTTTTGGCAACACTATTTGGACTACGATTTGATTGTTTTGAGTTTGCTTAATCGAAAATATCACATGTGCAATGCATGCTAAAACTAGAGCGCCAAATATTGGCCTATATACATTTCTTGACCAAATTACGCTTAATTTATTTGAATACTGCCGTATCGTCGAGGGTCAACCATAGCCTCAACGTATCCATTAGCTCGTGATATGGCTGTGACGGCGGTAAAGCCAATTACAGGTTTGTCTTCGCTGATATTGTGACCGATTTGTCGTAAACCTTCAAGGATCTCGGGATTGTATCCTTTTTCGAACACCACTTCCATCGGTAAAAGTTGATGGTGAATTCGTTTTGCGTTTATTGAATCTTCCAACGATTCGCCTAGCCACAAATGCTTCGCAAACACCTAATTCAAATAGGAATACAATTGAATTTATTATTTTACTTTTCAAGAAAAAGATATTGTACAAAAGAGGGAATTTTAAAGGATTTTGATTGGAGACAAAAACAAAACGGATCAGGACATTCGATTTCATTACATTCAATTGAAGAAACTTACATAAGCGACGGTTGTTGTGATTTTCGATCCACCGGCAGATCCAGCGATGAGTATCGCATCGTTATTCTTATCGAGTACAATAACAGGGCACATCGAAGATAAGGGTCGTTTTCTCGGAGCGATATAGTTAGCTGGTGATGGCCTCAAACCGAAACCATTCTCTTTTCCAGGTGATGAGAAATCGTCCATTTCATCGTTCAGTATGATACCAGTGCTCTTCGAAAGAACGCGTGACCCGAATCTGAAATGATATAGGCATATTTCATGTATTTTATTATCAGAACCAACCACTTGAGTTCGTAAAATGGGTCAAAATGACTTGTCATGGTGGAAAATGGATTTAAAAGGAAATAGGTCAAACTTACATGGCATTAATTGTGCTGGTAATTGAAATTGCATCGCCATTAGCGGCCAGTACCGAAATATGAGCGGTTCCATGATCTGCTTCCATGGAAAAGTCTGCGCCGTAGTGTTTATAATCACCGAAAGTTTTGTCGGGTAAAATTTGTTCACGTACTTTATTCGCTGTTTCCATATCCGAGAATGACGAAATGAATGTTTCGTCGTAATTCAAATCACCAAGATGGGTACGCTTGGCGTAGCCATATTTAAAACTTTCAATCATTTGATGAATAAATTTCACGGTAAACGATGGCTCAAAACCGCTCAAAACATTCAACATGAAAGATAGAATCATTCCAGAAGCCGGCAAAGGAGTCGAATGAATTGTGTAGTTGCCCCTCAATTTAGTTGATACTGGTTTGGCCCATTCAGTTTTGTAATCCACAAAATCGTCGATCGTGATTATTCCGCCAAGTTCTTTGATTTCATCGACGAGTAAATTAGCGATTGTTCCATTCTTTGTGTACATGGTGTCTGCACCTTCTTCTGCGATAATTTCCAATGTTTTGGCCAATTTCAGTCGTTTTATACGGTCGCCGGTTTTCCATACATCACCCGTTGCTGGATTTACAAAAACTTCTCGCAGTGAAGGTGATGAGAAAATTCTGTCTCGCATCAATACCAACACTCTTTCCAAATATTCCGTTACAATGTGACCAGTTCGACACAAATCAATTGTGGGCTGGATCAAAACGTTCCAAGGAACACGACCGTATTTATTATGCAAGTCGGCGTAGCCCTTTAGTTCACCAGGAACTGCAGCTGCTAAAATTCCTTTGATTTCTGTCATATTTTGATACATGTTCACAGTCGATGCGAACGGGGCTCGTTCACGTGCGAGTAGAGTATCAACTGTGCCACTATCCTTGTGATAGATTGTTGCAACAAACCCACCTCCAAGCCCCATCGATTGACACACAGTCACACCCTCGCAAAATAATGTTGCTATCGCAGCATCCACAGCCGTTCCATTATATTCTTTCAAGATTTTCCTAAGATGATTTATAATTATAATTATTTGTTAATTAAAGAAAAAAAAAATAAACCAGGAACTGAACTTTTAAATGCTTACATTCCAATTGCCGCACATTCAGGCCCATTAGAAACAACCGCATGACGATTGAACTGATCCGGCTTAAAACCGTCATCCGCTTGATGCTCTTTTTGTTGAAAAAAGAACCAGACGCCGCCAATGACCAGCACAATTACAGCTGCCAGACTAAGCAATTTGGTTTTTGATACTGGAAGACTGGAGAAAAAAAAACCAAAAACACACTCGATTAATCAATGAACAGTTATCGCAAAGGAAAAAATTACGGTTTGCACTTTATTTCGCACGATTTGTGACAGTTGAAATTGTTTTTTTGTTGTTGCAGAGATTATCATTCAAATGAACTAATAAATTGAGATTTTGCTTTTTATTTCGGTTACACCACCTTATGAATCGTCTAATAATTTCAGCTATATATAGCTAATATATAAGCGGTAAAAATGGCATGTGGCTTGTGATAACATAATTTTTTGTTTTGAATTGAACACATTCAAACAACTTTTTTTGAAACAAATTTCTAGAACGGAAAATAAAATGAACAGCGTTCACTTTGAGCTGAATTCATCAGCACAGTTTATGCGATGATTTTTTTTAGATAAATTGCATGTGTTGCTGTGTAAAATCAACGCGTTCAAAACACACTCAACACACGTTTGAACTACCACCGCCAGTGCGTATTCACACAAATGATTTTCTAATAAAAAAAAATTCATTGGAAAAAAGTGGACTTGTAGTTCTCGAAGATTAAATTTAAAATCTATTTCTAATGAAAATTCAACATTCATTACGTTTCGTTTTGTTTGGTTTGTTTGCTCATTTCGACGATGAACACGAAGCACACAATCACAGCTGAGCTCATAAGTCATTGCTGTGTTTATGTGTGTGAGTTAGAAGAGCAAATCGTTGCAACGATTTCGGTTGACGTTTGAGCGGCCAAACGTTTCAATGATATCGACTGTATTGAGTATTTCCATAGAATGCTCGTGAACATTTTCGTTGAGCATTGGATTTGTATTCCGTTGGATCGCGTGATCATTCCCAAAATGAATTTTTTTTGTTTCATTTTTATTAATTGTAGGTTTTAATAGATTTGTTTGAACAACTGTTTGATTAAAACACTTAATTGAGAGCTATTCAATTCTCATTATTTTGTCACAACAGTAAATTGTTACGTAATTTATATATCAGCACGTGTACATCGATTAAATCATTTTGAAAATAAGAGCCAATGGCCCTTAAATCAACTTGAAGATGTGAGAATATATCACAAAGTCTACCGAAATTAATATTTAAAACGGCTTGAGGCCACGTATCTTTAATCAAACTTCAAAGATAGTGTGTTACTACTAGGTCACTCATTTAGGTGATCTCAAAGTCAAGGAATACGGCATTTTGGACTTTTTTGAATCCTAATTAACACTATGACTGTTCTTCATATTTGCAACATATTACTGTTCTTGGGGGACTCCAGGGCCCCCAAGATACTTCATATGAAATCTGGACTGTGATAAGAGATAACAAATTAGTGTCTGAAGCAAAGTTGTAATACTCAAAGTTTGCTATAATTTTGGTGCAACAAATATTGCTTATCTCTTATCAGTTTCTAGAAAAACGCGAAAAAACGCGAAAATCGCGAAATTTTCCCACATCGTTTTAGTGAAGCTGATAAGAAATAAGAGACTTGCCTTTTTGACAGAAATGTAGAGCAGCTTGAGTACTACAACTTCACCATATACATGAAGTCGTTATCTCTTATCAGTTCCGCGAAAAATGATTATCAAAAACTCGCGTTTTTCGCGTAACTGATAAGAGATAATGACTTGATGTCTATGGTGAAGTTGTAGTACTCAAGCTGCTCAACAACTTTGCCGGATATCAAGTCGTTATCTTTTATCAGTTTCGCGTAATACGCGAGAAACCGCAGAAAATCGCGAAAAACGCGTTTTTTTCCTTATCATTTTTCACGGAACTGATAAGAAATAACGAAATGGTGTCTAAGGCAAAGTTGTAGTTCTGGTTGAGTACTACAATTATTCCGATTCATTATTTCGTTATCTCTTATCAGTTCCGTGAAAAAATGATAAGGAAAAAAATGCGTTTTTTCGCGTTTTTTTGCGGTTTCTCGCGTAATTGATAAGAGATAACAGAATAATGAATCAGAATAATTGTAGTACTCGACCAGAACTACAACTTTGCCTTAGACACCATCTCGTTATCTCTTATCATTTCCGTGAAAAATGATAAGGAAAAAAACGCGTTTTTTCGCGGTTTTCTGCGGTTTCTCGCGTATTCCGCGAAACTGATATGAGATAACGGCTTGGTGTCTTGAGCAAAGTTGTAGAGCAGCTTGAGTGCTACAACTTCGTCATAGACACTAAGTCGATATCTCTTATCATAGTCCAGTTATAATATAAAATAGCCATGGGGCCCTGGAGTCCCCCAAGAACAACAGCGTAACATGTTTTGCGGCAGGCTGTATTTTACACATACTCACACATATGCATATGTTTTTTTTTCATTCGTGTAGAGAAATGTTCAATCTATACAATGAGACTTAACTCCGGTTGGTTTATACACTGTTTAGTACTTTTATTCAACTTTAAAGTTCGCTGGGGGCCCTGGGTGCCCCAAGAACAATCATAGTGTTAATATTTGATACTGGTTTGAAGTTTTTTGCGTTTATCTTTAATTATATATTTATTTATTTCTGCATCAAATTCAAAATGACTTCAAATAGAAATTCGTTTTAATGTTCAAGTCTGAATTGCGGTCTGTGTATTTCTGGAATCGAGTGACGGTGGCGCCCCCTGCATAATCGAATGCGAATTCGCTATGTCTGTATGTTACACTTCCATATAAAGTTCTACAGAACGGAGAGTTTATGAGTTTATGAGCTATTGTCAATAGCCTTAGATTATCCAGGTGGTGTTTTGCGCTGTCTAATTCATATCGAAAGTCAGACGTGTGAATTTTACACAAAATTTATTATACAATTATGGTGTCGTATATCAAGATTAACTCATATCTATTAAACATCAATAAAGTCTCGTACGATTATTGCTCGCCGAGAATTTACGATGTTAATTAATTCTCTTTCATTGCATTGACATGATTATCATCTCCTTTTTTTGGACAGGTTTTATTTGACGCACGCGAATTATTTCATCCTTTGATAGTCTCGCTTGATGCATCAAGCACAAAAAAATTCCAATACCAAAGGTGACACTCATTTGAGAAACCATTGTTCATTTTTTATTTTTTTGCTTTTTCATATTTATTACTTTTCCACACGACCATGTCGTGTAAGAAAAGTATTGGGATCGCCTCTATTTTTTGACCCCCTTTAAATCAGTTGCGTACAGCTTACAGCGTATAGTGTACCAGGCACAAACCCTATGACCCTAAAATTAAGCTAGATTTCGCGATTTTCAGAGTTCGAAAATAAAAAAAAACTGATTTTAAGGGGGTTAAAAAATCGAGGCGATCCCAATACTTTTCTTACACGACATGGTCGTGTGAAAAAGTAATAGATAAACATGAGATAAATTATATGGGGCATATATAGCGCCATTCAATTGAATGTTCAAAATGTTTGAATTTTTCTATGCGAAAATAAAAAAAATAGAAGTTATAAACGTTGCAAAAAGCAATAAGCTTACTTACATCATATTGGATAAATCAACCGGTGTCTATTGATTCTTAGACAGATCGACACAACGAACAAACAACAAAGCACAATTGAGTGTATCTGTTAAAATGTTTATGTTCGACTGTCTTGTACTTTACAATGTTGTGTTAAATCTGATTGCGTTTAACGAATTACTCTTCAAAATTACTCCACACAGAACGATTGTTCATACTATCTTTTTTTCATCAAATGTCATGCAGGCCATAAAAAGTAAATCAAAATAACAAAAACAATTGACGGTCGATTCAACTGACAAATTAAAAATGACTTTGTTTCTGATTGAAACATGTAATTCGATTTATAGAATCAATGTTCGAATAAATTAATATTTTTTTCTCTCTAACACTCTGTTTGAATCTAAATCTAGAAACGTAAAATCAAAATTTTCAATTAAATTGGTCGGAGCTCACAGCGAAAATGAACCGAAGTCTATGAGCTTTCAAGCGCAACTGATCGATTGGATGCCGAACACTGAATGCGCCACACGTTTAAATTGAAATGTTTTTATCAACAGGAGACAACGATAGAAGCGACGTAGATAATAACCGTTCTAAAAACCTGATGTTATGATGCGCAAAGCGTCATTATACTCAGCTCCATTGACCCATTGAATTTGCAAATCGTAATTAGCCCCTCTTATTTGCTAGTCAAATCAACTACAGGTTCAACTACATATTCGCACAATGTACACGATGTACTTGCGCAATACAAACTCAGTTTTATTGTGCAAACAGAAAAAAACATTTGCAATCAAACACAGACGAAATGCAAATGTCAAAATCCGATATAAAACAATCAAATCTCATTCGATTTGTCGGAATTTTTGTAATTCCATTCATGGCACGATTGTGCGGCATTCGACTCTGAATTAATTATGACTAATTATTTTGTATTTGAACTCATTATTATTATTACACACGTTGTAGATATAATTTGATAAAAATGGTATGAAAACAATAATAATATAACAGGCAAATAAGTGTTTTTTTACAGAAAAGTATGAGCATCTTCAAATTTTATTATTCAGCCTTAATATGGTTAAATACAAAAACGTCTAAAAATAAAACAAAATCGCCTAAAAAAATGACAATTTTGTCCAGACATTTTTCTCCTTTTTTAACAAATTCGTCTAAAATATTTTTTTTAAAATGACAAAATCATCTAAAAATGTGATCATTTTTTTCTTAACAAAATCGGGTTTTAAAATAACAAAATCGTTCAAATACGAGTTTTCTGACAAAATTGACAAAAACGTCTAAAACCCTTTCAGGCGATTTTTTCAGCATGAAAATATCATATGATTTCAACAAGAAATTGAATGCGCCCGAACCGAAAGTTGGTACAAAAACGGCCAACAGCAAACTGTCAATCGTTGTTAAGGAAAAACGCCCACCGAAACCAACCTTCTCGAAATCCATCTGGGTTTCACGTTTTCGCCCATATACGACAATTGATGACATCGCCGATTATATTGTTGAGAACACACCGATTGAAGACCGCAAGAAAGTCGAGGTGAATAAATTAGTGAAAAAAGACCGTGATTTGGACACATTGAAGTTCGTGTCGTTCAAAGTGGCAGTAAACGATGATGAATTTGATGTTTTGATTGAGCCAGATGTCTGGCCTGAGAATGTTTTGGTCCGTCGATTCCACAATGAAACCACACTTGGTGATTTTTTCCCGGCATTGGAAAAAAAACGAAACAAAAACCCGGAACCAATGGAAACAAACGAACAAACCGAGGCACATTCGGCAACATCACCGCCGAAAACGAATCCGACACCGACAAATTCACGGAAAAATTCACCGACATCATTGTGAATGAGTTCATGAAACTGAGCATGTTCATTCAAAATGCACATTCCATTCGTGATAAAGTTGACGTGGTACGATTAGCGACAGAATCGTGTCCATTCCAAATAATAGCGTTTTTTGAAACTTGGTTGTCGGAGAGCATTTCAGACATAGAACATTTTAGTAAAAAGTACAATGTTTATCGCGGTGACCGTACATTTTTGACCAGTGATAGAAGTGATGGAGGTGGTGTTTTAGTAGCGATAGACTCAAGATTTCACAGTGAAAAAATTATTTTGACGGAAATAACCAGACTTGAATATGTGCGTGTAAAATTGTCAACGTGTAATATTTATGTTTTAACGTGTAATATTTATGTTTTTGCTGTGTACATTCGCTCGGTGCATGAGACAGAAAATTTTTTAGAATTTGCAGAGATAGTGACAAAAATCAAATATGATGACAATGACATTGTAATTGTGTGTGGTGATTTTAATCAGTCGGGAGTGAAGTGGGTTAAGGCGGAAGACGGTGATTACTATTTGCCAATGAATGTGACGACAGAGGGCAATGCTCGGCTGCGGTTTCCATCAAATGTGCAATCTTGAAAATCCTGCCGGCAATGTTTTGGATCTTGTATTCACAAACAAAATCTACGATTTACCGCTTGCGGAGTCGTTGAGACCGTTGGTAGAAACCGATGTGTGGCACAAAGCAATCGAAGTTGAAATCACGATTGATGAAAATGAGCGTGATTCGAATGACGTAACTGAGTTTTACAAGTACGAAGCGGCTGATTTTGTGGCAATGAATGAATTGTTTGTTGAGAGAGATATATCTACGGTAATTGAGCAGCAGAATGACATTGGAAATTTGTTTCGGATGTTTGAGAGTGTTGTGAACGAAGCAATGGAAAGATTCGTCCCAAAAGTCACCGTTGAAAAGAGCACAGATCCACCGTGGTACGATAAAGATCTGAAACGCTTGAATAATAAGAGAAGAAAGGCGCACAAACGGGCAAAGGTCACAAACAATTTCGCTGATTATATGAATCTCACTGATTCCTTCATAGCACTACAGGGTCAGTTGTTCCATTCATACATTAGACGCATACAATCTGACATCAATTCGAACCTAAAGGTGTCAATAGGACAGATTTTGTCCGTCCGTCCTTTTGTGATTTTTTTTCGGACGGACAATTTCATTTTGTCCGTCCTTGAACCCCAAAACGGACGGACAAAATGAAATTGTCCGTCCTTGAATTCTAAACGGACGGACAAAATGAAATGTCCGTCCTTGAACCCCAAAACGGACGGACGGACACGAAGTGTCCGTCCGCTGTCCGTCCTTTTGACACCTTTAGTCGAACCCGAAAAGTTTTTTGGAGGTTTGTGAACGACAGACGCAAACGTAGTGAGATTCCGTCGGTTGTTGAGTACAATAGCCAAACAGCGAGAAGCGAAGCATCCAAAGCGGAGTTGTTTGCTGATTTCTTTGAAAGCCAATACACACCGAGTGATGACATTGATTTGAGCAGTTTTGTTAAACGAATGCCGTGATGATGCATTGGATTGTGAACTAAATAGGGCCGATGTATTGAAAGCACTGCTGTCGATCAATGTGAACAAAGGAGCTGGACCCGATGGCATCTCACCGAAGCTACTGAAAAATTGCGCGCATTCATTGTCGGAACCATTGACAAAGCTGTTCAGCAAATCATTGCAAGCGGGAATTGTGCCAAGCATATTGAAAAACTCGAGAATAGTACCGATTTTTAAATCTGGGGAAAAAAGCGTTGCATCGAACTACAGGCCAGTTGTGATAATACCGACGATAGCAAAAGTATTGTGTACAATAAAATCCAAACATCTGTGAATGGCAAAATCATCCATAACCAGCATGGTTTTGTGAAAAAATCGGTCAACTTCAACGAATTTACTGCAGATGGTGAACTACACTATGGATTCGATGATAGCCAAATGTCAAACTGATGTATTGTACACTGACTTCGAGAAGGCATTCGATCGAGTCAATCACAAGAGACTTCTGCAAAAGCTGGCGAGCTTCGGATTTGGGCGCGGACTTGTCAAATGGTTCCATGGGTATTTGACATTACGCACGCAGTTTGTTGGAATCGGCAACAGAAAGTCACGGACTTTCACCGTCTCTTCGGGAGTGCCTGCTGGAAGTATCTTGGGACCTTGTCTCTTTATTATTTTCATTAATGACATTGTCGACACTGTAACTTATGCACTTGTTTTATTGTTCGCAAATGATTTAAAACTCATATTGAGAATCACGTCACAGAACGATGCCCGCTTGTTCCAGATGGCCACTGACCAATTGCACGAGTGGTGTCGGCTCAACTAGCTCTATTTGAATCTAAAGAAATGTTACATCATGACAAATGCGAAGAACATCACCGTGCAAAAACATGAATACACGATACGCAATGGACAGCACAAATTTAACAGGATAGAGCTACACCGAGACTTGGGTGTCATTTTTGACGTGAAACTCACATTTGCCAACCACATTGATACGACAGTAGCTAGCGCACGAGGTGCATTAGGTTTTATTAAGCGAACACTGAAAAACAAGTTTATTATAGAATCAGCAAAAATGTTATACAGTGCGCCCCCGGAAATCTTAAGTAGTTTGTTTTTCGGTTACTTAAGTTTTCTGAAATCTTAAGATTTCAGAGAGAATTTTTTTTTTCGATAATAATGCACTAAAATCAAAGGAAACATCGAAAATATACATCACTTACCCACATTTATTATCAATTAAACTGTATTCAAGTTTTTTCAAGCTACAAACAACAGAAGAAATCTGATAAATAGTTTCACATGATCAAAAAATGAAGGAAAAACACCACAAATTTCGGTAATCTTTTATTTATTCCTGTGAACGGTTAGATTCAGCGTCGTCACATTATTTGTTTGGATTAAAAATTCGCTAAAATAACAAACTGAGAATACAGCTGTAAAGTCAACCAAACACACAGAAAAGAAACCCCGGAAATTTTAGGTGTTCGCCGTAAAATTTGACATTTATATATAAATTTTTATATACATTTTACCGGCAACACTTGAATTTTCCGGGCGATGACATAATTTCAAATATTCCAACAGAAATTAGCGCTATCTGTCATTTCAAGCGGTAAAATATACATAGTATTTGATAAAATGTTCGAAAATATGTCATCACCCGGAAAATTGAAGTGTTGCCGGTAAAATGTATATAGAAATTTATATATAAATGTCAAATTTTACGGCGAACACCCAAAATTTCCGGGGATTCTTTTCTGTGTGAAACAGCAAACGGAGTCATTTACGTGTGCATACACGTTAAAACAAAGGCTACTGTGATTTATTCACGCTGTAAACCGTCTGAAGCGTTATCGCATCGTTTGTTCAGGCAAAGAAATAGCTGTAAATCGGTTGGCTGATTAATTCTAACATTGTATATATTTGTGAAAACAATTTTATGTTGTCTGTACATTTCGATATAGTTATGTTATTGTTCGAAAAAATGAATAATTGGAAAAAAATAAATTTATTTTACTTGAAATACAGTATTCTCTCAGAAATCTTAAGAAAAACTTAAGATTTCAGAGTAGTTTTCCGAGAGATTAAGATTTCTGCTACTTAAGATTTCCGGGGGCGCACTGTATTGTGCCTTAGTTCGATCGAAATTAGAGTATGCTAGTGTAGTG